AAATGCGAAAGATGAGAGGTGCATGAATGTGTGTCATAGTGATGCTGTTTAAGAATTAAACAGCTCTTAATCCGTAGCCTATTGGTGTTTGCTTGAGGTTGGAGTGATAAAACAAAAGCTTGACTTTTGCCATGTTTTTATTCCTGTGCTGAATGGACTGCTGTAGTTTGAGGACTTGGTTTTGCAGGTACGGACTTAAACCAGAGCAGACTTCTCTGCATCTTATGCATGGTGTCCATTGTTGCATCATTATCATTCCTCTTATGCCCTCTTTCTTAATTTTTATTTGTAGTGGCCCCTTTCGTCATCTTGCATGCATTCATTAGCTTCCTCCTCGTCTAATTCCTTCTTGATGTCCATGCCGTCCCCTCCCCTTTGAATGGCTTGACTTCATCATTCTCACCTAGATGCTGCTCATCGGGAATGGCTCCTTTTTAGTTCCAAATCATACACGGTGGAATTTCCAAAGTCAAAAGTCATGCTCGGATATAAAAGATTTCAATATTAAATTAAAACCTTGTTAGAAAATCTCGTGAGACTTCAGGACAGGTGGGAAAGGTGTGGAACACCGTTCACTTCAAAACTTCAGTATCACACGAGGGATTGCAGATTCTGACTTTGGAGGTTCCACCAAGGCTTACAAATCGCATTGCTACATTACAGTCTTATTCTGCCCCCATCATATTTTCCAAGGTGGAGAGTCTGCAAGCCATCATCAAAGACAAGTTGGAGGACCACGCCTCCTTGGCGGCGGCCAACCAGCTGGCACAGAGAGAGCTTGCCGAACGCAACGAAGAGATCGACAAGCTAGCTGTGCGAATCCGTGAGCTGGAGCAAGCGCTGCTCAGCAGTGCCGAGTGTAACGGAGCCGTTGGCCAACTGGAACAAGAACTCCACCGGGCCAAGTTGAGGGAAGAGGAGCTCACGCAAGTGAGAGCTATTTCTATTTACATATTAAATCCCGGCGTATCACTTGCTGCCCTCAAATTTTGGCTTGCAACGCTCTTAAACTTAACACGGTCATTTCAGCCTTACGTTAAATGAATCTATTCTTGAACATCCTTCTCAGGATAAGCAGGCACTGGAACAGCAGCAGTTGTCCAATAGACTTCAGATATCTGCGCTGCAGTCCAAACTGGATGAGACGAGACACTGTTACCATAACAGCACGTGGGAACCGACCCAGGA